GTAGTAGTAGTAGTAGTCGTAGTAGTGGTGGTATTGGTGATGGTAGTGGCAGTGGTAGTAGTAGTAGTAGTAGTAGTAGTAGGAGTAGTAGTAGTCGTAGTAGTAGTAGTAGTAGCAGTAGTAGTAGTAGTAGCAGCAGTGGTAGTAGTAGTAGTAGTAGTAGTAGTAGTAGTAGTAGTAGTAGAAGTAGTCGTAGTCGTAGTAACAGGATATGTACTAATAGTTGTAGTGCTAGTAGTATTCGTAGTAGTAGCAGTAGTAGTAGTAGTAGTAGTATTAGTGGTAGTAGTCGTAGTACTAGTAGAAGTAGTAGTCGTAGTAGTAGCTGGAGTAGTAGTAGTAGTAGTAGTAGTAGTAGTAGTAGTAATGGTAGTAGAGGTCGACGTCGCAGTAGTAGTAGTAGTAGTAGTAGTAGTAGTAGTAGTAGTCGTAGTCGTAGTCGTAGTAGTCGTAGTAGTAGTAGTAGTAGTAGTAGTAGTAGTTAGTAGTAGTAGTAGTAGTCGTAGTAGTAGTAGTAGTAGAGTAGTCGCAGTAGTAGTTAGTAGTAGTAGTAGTAGTAGTAGTCGTAGTAGTCGTAGAGTAGTAGTAGTAGTGTAGTAGTAGTAGTAGTAGTAGTAGTAAAGTAGTAAGTAGTAGTAGGTAAGTAGTTAGTAGTAGTAGTAGTAGTAGTGTAGTAGTAGTAGTAGTAGTAGTAGTAGTAGTAGTAGTAGTAGTAGTAGTCGTATCGTAGTAGTAGTAGTAGTAGTAGCAGCAGTATTAGTAGTAGTAGTAGTAGTAGTAGTAGTAGTAGTAGTAGTAGTAGTCGTAGTAGTAGTAGTAGTAGTAGTAGTAGTAGTAGTAGTAGTAGTAGTTAGTAGTAGTAGTAGTAGTAGTAGTAGTAGTAGTAGTAGTAGTAGTAGTAGTAGTAGTAGTAGTAGTAGTAGTAGTAGTAGTAGTAGTAGTAGTAGTAGTAGTAGTAGTAGTAGTAGTAGTAGTAGTAGTAGTAGTAGTAGTAGTAGTAGTAGTAGTAGTAGTAGTAGTAGTAGTAGTAGTAGTAGTAGTAGTAGTAGTAGTAGTGATAGTAGTAGTAGTAGTAGTAGTAGTAGGAGTAGTAGTAGTAGTAGTAGTAGTAGGAGTAGTAGTAGTATCGTAGTGGTAGTAGTTGTAGTAGTAGTGCTGGTGGTGGTGGTGGTGGTGGTAGTAGTAGTAGTAGTAGTCCTCGTCGTCGTCGGTTACGTCCAAGTTTTCTTGGTGGTTGAAATGGTGACTGTTGTTCTGGCTGTGGCGGTAGCAGTTGTACGAGGAGCGTGTGGGTGAAGCTGAGGAGGACGTTGATGAGGAACTGAATTTTCGTGGGAGGACACGCATGGCGGATGCCGCTGGCTATCCTAGTGGGTTTGACCCAAACTCCTTTCTAATGCCCATGCTCTGCTTTGTGGGATTCCCAGCCTGGTCTCTCTTACTTGCCCGCGTTCTCGAGAAACCAGTTGCGCACGAGCCTGCAGTCGCTAGCGGACCGCCGCCGTCTTCTGCGGCGAGGGCACGCGGGAATAGAGGCTCGATTCAAGCATCTTGTATCTAGTTCGATGTTGATGTTTCACAAGGACCCCGCGTTTCCAAAGTGGAACGTGGGCAGCAAGCTGCCCGGAGACCACTCGAGGAACGTCGATTGCTCTGGTTTCGTGTGCCCCTGAAGGAATCATCCTTCGTCGTCTGCCATGCTGAGTCATGTCCTAAATCCTCCTGCTCCTAATGCTATTACCTCTTTGCTGCTGCAAACGTCGCCACCACTACCCTGCTTCTTTTGCTACTGATATTAAGACGGCTGTTGCAACTGCTGCAGGTATCACGGCTAACACCATTTCTGCCACTGCCATCAATGCCAGTAACACATCCGCTGCTTCTGCCACCACTGCTATCACTACTACTTCATTGCTACGTATTGCAACTAGCATCACTACCACAACCACTACAACTGCCAAAGCCACTGCCACTACCACCACTGCCATCATCAGTGTCACGGCCACCGACATTGCCGCCGCCGCTACCAGTGCCACTACCACTTCCAACACAAATGCTGCAACCACTACCATGGCCGCTACATCTACCATGACCAGCTCCTACACACCACCGTCCTCCAGATCACCAGCACTACCATTACGCCTACCATTATCAGTATGACGGCCCCAACCAATACCCTTGCCATGACCACGAGCATTCCGCCCACCGCTGCCGCTACCAGTGCCAGTCTCTCAACCACGGCCTTCAGTAACCGCTACTCCTGGCCACTGCTGCACTTCTGGTTTTGTTTCAGCTACCGCGAATACGGGTATTGTGATATGACCCCAGACATGCGACGTCCTGATTTTTTCAGGACGGCGTCCCTGGAAGTCCAGACCCTTTCCCTGGGGCCGGTTTTTCGTCCTGACTCGTTTTTTGACGGTCCCGAGGCCCAGCGAGGGCCCCCAGGGGCCGAAAATAGCGAAAAACCTCCCGTCCTGATTTTTTTTTTACGACGCCATCATGTCTGGGACGAACAACACCTGCACCATTTCTGGTTCACACTGCTGCGACTGCTTCTGGCCTCGGTGCTGCTTGTGCCCACGCCGATCTACACCTCTCGTTCCTCAACTCCTGCTGCTGGTCTCGCTCCGGCTCCTCTTGTTCATCCCTCCCTCTCGCCTCTTCCTCGCCTCCTCGCCTCCTCGTCGCCTCCTCCTCGCCTCTTCCTCGCCTCCTCCCTCTCGCCTCTTCATTCTGCTGCAGCAGCTCCTCCTCGCCTCTTCCTCGCGCTCACCCCGCCTGCGCCCGCTGCTCACCAGGATTTGCTGTCAACCAAACCTGCAGGGTGGCCCTTCTAGTTTTTCTGTGCACTTCAGCTTTGGCCTCGGCTTCAGCTGTCGGTGCACCGTGAAGCGCCTTCGGGCCAGCTCACCCGAGTCGGTTTTCCGCTCGCATGGGTGCTCCCTTCCCCTTGGTGCTCCTCCCCCTTTTCTGCAGCAGCTCTTGCTCCAGGGGCGACACTCGCGGGGACGACGCTCCTCAGGAGCGGCCGACGCCGCTGCCGATTACTCTCGGCCAGCGCCTCCTCCTCCTCCTCCTCCTCCTCCTCCTCCTCCTCCTCCTCCTCCTCCTCCCCCTCCCCCTCCTCCTCCTCCTCCTCCTCCCCCTCCTCTGCAGCAGCTCGTGCTCCAGGGGCCACCCTCGCGGGGCTCGGCCGGCCGCCCGCCCACCATGACGACGCTCCTCCGGAGCGGCCGCCGCCGGCGCCTCCTCTCGGCCAGCGCCGTGGGCATGGCGCTCGGGTGCGCGGGGGCCCGCGGCCTGGCCCTCCTGTGGGGCGCCGCCGCGGGCGCCCCGCGCGCGCCCGCGCTGCAGCAGCGCCGCCCGCTGGGCGCCCGCGGCTCGCCGCGCGCGCGGGGCGCCGCCGTGGGGGCCGCGGCCTCGCCGGTGGAGGTGAGCTCGAAGGAGGCAGGTCGGCGTGAGCGTCCCAAGTTTCGGCGGCGGGCCCAGGGGGGAAGCGAGGGGGAGCATGCCTTCTCGGAAGGCGGCGGGGCTGCTCCGAAGCCCGCCCGCCCTCGGAGAAGCCGTCTCCTGCCGTCCTAGCCGCCTTTCAGAAGGCCTGCCCCCTTTCATTTCTCCCCGAAAGCGCCGCTGCACTTTCGGACTGAGGTTGCACAGCACTGGCTCCGACCAGCAAGCAGGGAGGGGGAGGGAGGAGGCTCGAGGTTCTGGGCTCGAGAATTTGTCTTTTGCCCTCGTTCGGTCTCAGGGGGTCGTTGTCGGGCCGCAGGACCGTCACAAACGGACAGGTTTTGAGCGGATTTGCCCTTACCCTTCCGTATGGATTGATTTTCTCGGAGCTTATCCAGGCCGCCGCCAACTCTCGGAGGTGCGCGCGGCCTCCTCGGATCGGCGTTCGGTCCAGATCGGAGTCGAGATGCGCATTTTGCCTCTCCCGGGCGCTCTGGCTCCAGGGCCCTGAGCGGCAGCGGAAGCAATGTCACACCAACTTGGTGTGATATTGCTTCCGAAGGATGGCGATATCACACCAACTTGGTGTCACCAAGGACAGGAAAAGAGTGTCAGACAAGCTGGGGCCACCGAGTGGGCTGGAAGGCTGAGCCCCTCAAGGGCGGGGCGCACACGGTTGATGCCCGGGCCCGCTCGGGCGGTGCGACCGCCGCCGCCCCTGGCGCTCCGGACGCGCTCAAAGGGAGTGGGGTCAAGCGCCGATGCGAGCAGTCCGCGCGGACCTCCCCTGAAATCCGACGTCGCGGGAGGACTGCCGCATCGCGGGAATTCCGCGACCGGAGCCCCAGACCCAGTCCTTCTCGGGCCGGACGAAAGGGGGGGATTGGGAAAGGGGGGGTTACGAAGTGTGCTGCGTGCAGCTGGTTTCGGCCTCGCCGAGGGGCCCATTCCTCGATACATAGCCGCCTCCGGCGCCGGGAGGCGCCGGGAAAATCAGCCACGTGAGCTGATTCTCCCCCCCCCCCCCTTTGCTATCCCCCCCTTTCGCCCGACCCGTCCCTCTGCGGGAGTTTCCGGGCCAGGTCGGCCTCTGTTGGCTCCAGGACCGAGGCAGGGCGACAGCGCACAGAGCGACAGAATGCAGCGCCAAGATCGCCGGGGACGACGGCTTCTTCGGTGCAGAACTCGGGCTTCCAGCCGCCGATTGGGACCCTCCAGGCCCCCCCGGAAGCTGGAACGCTCTCGGCCAGGCGCAGCGGCCGGAAAAGCACCCCGAGGCCGGGAAATCTCCCTGGGGATCGGCGAAAACATAGGAAACCGTGAGGAAACCTAGGATCTTCGAAACGTAGGATCTTCGGGCATCTTCGGGCGCGGCTAGGACGAGGAAAGATCCGTCCCAGTGCGTTCTGGAACGCTCTGAGAGCGTTCCGGAACGCTCCGAGAAGGCCGCGGCGCGCAAAAACATCCTCCAGAGTCGCCACATCTGAGAGATTCTCGCTGCATCCGCACCCGATGTATCCTCGTCCTGGCTTCGTCTTTGACCTCAGGGTCCGAGAGTGTATGCTCGTGCCGACGTTTTTTCCTTCCGTGAGCGTGCCGCCGGACTTCGAGGCGCTGGCCGCGCGGCTGAGAGATGCCTCCGCCCTCGAGGGCGTCGGCGGGCTGCTCGGGTGGGAGCCTCGTGTTCGGCCATGCGCAGAGGGGGTTAAAGGGGGAGGGGGGGAAGGCTTCTTGGAGGGAGGCTGCTTCCTAGAAGCGCGGGCCTTGTCTGTAGATGTAGGGCCGGCGCCTTCCAAGAAGCAGCCTCCTCCCAAGAAGAGAAGCCTTCTCCCCTCCCCCATTCACCCCCCTCTGCGTCCTGCCGACTTGTATGTCCTCGTAGCTCCGTCTTTGGAGTGCCTTAGCGTGCGCTAGGGTCTGGCAACCGATGGGCAGGCGCCGATTTCGCGCCGGTTAGCCACGATCCAGCGTCGATTCGCGTCGACTGACGTCGACTGGCGTCGACTAGCGTCGACTCGCAAGAGCCAGCGAGGTGATACAGTCGGGGCCCTGAAGAAGGAACCCTTTTCGTTGGGGAGGGGCTCGATGTTCCTTAGTTGTTCCACACCTTGCCTAAGGTTTCCCTTCTGTTTTCGATGGGAAGCCGAAGTTTAACTTACGAGAAAAGGCGCCTCGTTCCTTATTTAGGGTTCCTTAGGTCAACGCCCCCACTGTATGGGAGGCTCCCCATTGAGTTGCCGCCGAAGGTGGGACGAGATGACGATGATGCCGCCGGGGGCGGCGGCCTCGAGGGCGGCGCAGAAGTCCGCGCTGTCCAGCGTGATCCACGCGAAGCAGACCGACCCCGAGATCGCGAGGGAGGAACGGCGGCACGAGCACAGAAGCTCTCGGAGCCCCGCGCCTTGGCATCGCTCGGACGTGTGCCTTTTGCCTTCGGCGAGGACCATCGAGGAGCATCCTTGATGATTTGGCGAGAAAGCCACGCACGAGACCGAACAAAAACACAGGGAATGGACGTCCGAGCGATGGCCAGCGCGCGGGTTCTTCTTGGATCGGCGGTGGCCCCCCCCGGCGGCGCCTCCGACGCCGCCCCCGGCGCGCCCTGCGCGCCAGGGAGGGGGGTGCAGGTCAGATCTAAGAATCTCAGGAGGAAAAGAAACACACAGACACAATTAATCCTCGATCCCCCAGAAAATATAGGAAAATATGGGAAGTGGGGGGGAAGGCAGAAACCCAGAAAATATGGGGAAATATGGGGAATCCTTTTATTTGTGTGTATTTATTCGTGTGTGTCCTGGGGCCCCTTCAGAATCCGCGCGAGCCTCCAGAAGTTTGTGTGTTGTGCCGTCTTTTCCTGCTTCTACGATCGGAGTGCTGCTGGAGCGCCTCCAGGGCTGCGCGCCAGCGCTGGACGAGTACCGGCAGGCCACGGTGCGCGAGGCGGCGCGCGCGTACAGGAAGGCCACGTGCATCCCGGACGACCTGGTGCGCAGGGAGGCCGACCTGTCGAGCCGCGCCTACCAGGGCTGGGTGCAGGCCCGGCAGGAGTCGGGGAAAAGTAAGTAGGACTCGAGCTCGCCAGAACTCGGGTCAGCCGACGCTCTCTGGCGGGCCCGTCATGGACTTGGCGGTCTTGGGGTGTCGGCAGCGGAAGCTGCCCCTGGCACATCCCGAAGAATTCTGCAGGTTCTGAGGGTGCTGTGGCCGTCCCGCGACCCCTCTTCTCCTCCTCCTCCTCCTCCTCCTCCTCCTCCTCCTCCTTCCTCCTCCTCCTCCTCCTCCTCCTCCTCCTCCTCCTCCTCCTCCCCTCCTTTTTCCCCCTGCCTCTGTGCCCGCTCCGCTTCGGGCGCGCCCCGCCCCAGCGCGACCTCTTGCCGGGACCCAGCTCGCCGCGGATCACACCACACGTGTGCGGCGGGAGCTGGCGTCGGATTTCCGACGGGGCCTCGTCGTTGTTCTCGCGGCCCCGTGAGTCAGGGGAGGCAAAAACACACAGACGCAATTCATCGTCGATTCCCCAGAAAATGCGGGAAAATGTGGGAAGTGGGGGGGGAAGACAAAACCCAGAAAACATATGGGAAAATCTGGGGGATCTTTTGATGTGTGTGTACTTCTTTGTGTGTCCCAGGGCCCCTTTAGTGAGGCCAGCTCGAGGCCTCCAGACTCGAGTCTTGCGTCTCCCCGCAGGAGAAGAGGTGGGAGCTCTTCTCCCCGCTCCTGCGGGAGTGGGTCGAGCTCCGCCGCCAGCGCGCCGCGCTGATCGACCCCTCGAGGCCGGCTTACGACGTGCTCGCGGACGACTACGACCCGGGGCTCACCGGCCAGAGGGTGAGCGAGGTTTTCGGCCGCGTCAGGGACGTCGAAAAAGAGAAAGCGGCACAAACGTAAATTTTCGAAGTTCCGCGTGGATTTCTGGGATCGGCGCTGGGCCCCCCCTGCGGCTCCTCCCGCGAAGCCATTGCCGCGCTCCACGCGCTAGGGATCCAGGCAGACATGCGATGTCTTGATTTTGTTCGGTACGGGGCCCCCGGAAGGTTCGACCCTTTCCCCGGAACCGTTTTTTTTCATCCTGAGCCTGTTTTTTGATGGTCCCAGGGCCCCCCACAGGTGCCGAAATCGACGAAAAATCTCCGTCCTGTTTTTCAAGGCGTTGCATGTATGGTGGGGGGTGTCCCGCGCCGACCCAAGAAATCCGAGCGGAGCTCCGACGGTTTATTTGTATGCACTTCTCTCTTCCTCTAGGACGGGCTGGTGCCCCTGCTGAAGAGCATCCGGGAGCGGGGGGAGAAGCCCGACACCGCCTGGCTCCAGGGCGACTTCGACACCTCCAAGCAGGCCAGGGCCCATTTCGATATCGGCTCCGTTCTATCCGAGGTCGACGGCGCCTGGCCCGAGCTGGCTCGAATCCGACGCCCCGGCGATCCGATGCGGCCCGATGGCGGCGCAGCGCTGTTGTGCAGCCGCCTTGCACCCGATCCGATGCGATGCCGCCTCCGTGCCGCCACGGCCCGATGCGACCCGCCTCCCCCGATGCGACGCAGACCCGCCCCGTGGCAGGCCGACCTGTGCAAGGACGTGGCGGTGGCGCTCGGCTTCGACCTCCAGAACGGCCGGCTGGACGTGAGCGTGCACCCGTTCACGGGCGGCGCCCACCCGACCGACGTGCGGATGACCACGCGGTTCCCGGAGCTCCGGCGTTGCGAACACCTTATGCAGCATTCGGCGGCGAGCCCGGCAGGGGGGGGGGGAGAGGGGGCCGGCCTGCTCCGAAGGCTCGGGAGGACTCGGGCCTCCTGCGAGGTCTTCTGACTACGCCTCCCCCCGAAGGCACAGAGCGCTTCCCCGAAGGCGCGAAGGCTTCTGAGAAGCCCCGCCGCCTTCCGAGAAGGCCTGCCCCCTCCCCCGTCACCCCTGGGCGCGCCGCCGAAGTCTCGCGAAACCTCGCGACCGGAGCCCTACGGCCGAAGCCGATCGCAAGGCTGGGTAACCTCCCCAAGGGTACCCTTGCGTCCGTGCCTGCTTGGTCCATCCCTTGGCTACCTTCGAGGGCCCGCTGCGCTCGAAGAAGCTTCGACCTGGGCGTCCAAGGGGCTTGCATCTTTCTCGCTCACCACCTTGCTACCAATTCTGACTGTACAGTGCCGTCTTTTTTATACATGCTCAGGGATTTAGTATCAAAAACAACGAGGAGTTCATGCATCAATTCATCCATACATTAATCATGTATCAAAAATTCGATATTTGAAAATCCTATGTGTTAGGGGGTTAGGGGGATGGGGTTAAGGAGAGGGGGTCAGGGGGAGGGTTTAGGGGGAGGGGGTCCAGGTCCAGGGGAGGGGGTTAGGGGGACGGGTAAACCCCCCCTCCGAAGGGGAAGAAGGAGGGGTGGAAGAGGAAATTCCCTAAACCATCTACGCCCAGAGGGCTGGTGGGATTCTACGCCCAGGGGCTTGCATCTTTCTCGCGCATCACTGCTACCAATTCTGACAGTACAGTGCCGTTTCTAATGCATGCTCCGCGTGCGGATCACGTCGTAAAAATGCAGGGATTTGGTATCAAAAACAACGAGGAGTTAATCATGTATCAATGATAGCCGAAGTGCAGTATCCCCAAACAGGTTTTTTAGACCCACTGCGGTTTCCAAGGCAGATTGCGTGCCCGTCCAGTGCGGGCTGGCATGGCATGTTAAAACATGCCTCCTCCTCCTCCTCCTCCTCCTCCTCCTTCTCCTGCTCCTCCTCCTCCTCCTCCTCCTTCTCCTGCTCCTCCTCCTCCTCCTATATATTTTGAAAATCCTACGTGTTCAAAGCTGCCCTGTGGGCCCCATCGCTCTGCGGCACTCTGCGAGGCAGGTCCCTCCGGGAGCTCCCCCCCCGGGGGCCCGAGGCGCGAGCGCCCGGCGCGCGAAGAGCTGCGTCGCCCAGATCTCTGTCGGGAGGAACCCAAAACACAGACACAATGAATCGTCGATTCTCCAGAAAGTATGGAAACATATGGGAAGTGGGGGGGGAGACAAAAACCAAGAAAAAATATACGAAAATATGGGGAATCTGGCTATTTGTGTCTGTTTATTCGTGTGTCCCAGGGCCCTTTCACTCTGGGTCTTCTCTTGGGGGAACCAGGAGTCGGCCACGCGCAGAGGGGGGTCTTCCCAGGAGGGGGCTTCCCCCCTCCACCTGCCCGCGCGCCTCCAAGAAAGGCACAGCAGGTTCGCGTCGTACCGACACGCCGCGACCCCGCCGCGGGCGTTCAAGGTTGAGCGCGGCCAGTGGCCAAGAATCGGCCAGTATGGAAGGATCTGGCGATCGGGAAAGCCGCTGATCGTGCAAGGTTGGAAGATCCATGTGGTGTCAGAATCCAACGTGCAGGTCGTCACGAGACGAACCCGCCGTACCGATACCGCTGCTCCCTGGACCTCTCCCAGGGTGCGTTCTGACCAGGTTTCTGCGGCGAGTCCAGCCGTGGCGACGAGGGCCTCCCAGGAGGCCCAGAAAGGCGAAACACGGCAACGTCCGGGCCTTAAGGTTCAAGCCGGACGACATCACGGAGGGGCTCACTGGAGCCATACACGAGACCGGCCACGCGCTGTACGAGCAGGGCCGGAACCTCGAGCACGACGGGCTCCCCGTGAGCGCGGCGGCCGGCATGGCCATCCACGAGAGCCAGTCCCTGCTGTGGGAGCGCATGGTGGGGCTCAGCCGGCCCTTCGCGGCGTACCTGCTGCCGAAGCTGCAGGCCCAGTTCCCCGACGCCTTCGCGGGCCGCGCGCCAGAGGAGCTGTACCCAGAGGGGGATGAGTCGGCGGCGAAATCCGAACCCTGCCCTCGCCGATCCACGATCCAGGCCACTCGATGGGCGGCGGGGGCAGGGTTGGGAGTCTGTCGCACGCGTGGCGAAGTCCTAGCCCTGCTCCGCCTCCCATCGGTGCAGGAGAGCCGCTGCTCGGTGGGGGCAGGGCTCGGACGTCGCCGCCTGGGCAAGGTGCCGATCCGGCTGCCCCCTGCGTCGTTGTCGCCATTTGGGGCCTCCTTGGAGGCCCTCGTCGCCACGGCTTGCTGCGCCTCGAAAGTCTGGTCGGAACGCGCCGCCCCAGGAGAGGTCCAGGGAGCAGCGGCATGGGTATCTTTTGGTTCCCCCAGGTACGTGGCCATGAACGCGGTGAAGGAGGTATCCATGATCCGCGTGGAAGCGGACGAGGTGACCTACCCGATGCACGTGATCCTGAGGTTTGAGATCGAGAAGGGCCTCGTCGAGGGCAGCGTGGACCCCGACGACGTCCCGGCGCTATGGAACGAGAAGATGAGGGAGTACCTCGGGGTCGAGCCGGAGGACGACGCCCAGGGATGCCTCCAGGACCTGCACTGGTCCATGGGCGCCATCGGCTATCTAGTGTCCTTCGGCACATCCCTCTATCGCTCCTAGGTTGTAGGTCAGAGGGCTCCTGGATGCCTGTTTGGGTCTCTTGGAAGGCCTCTCGGAAGCCTGCTGGAATACCCAATCCTTAGGACCAAGGACGGCCTAACAGGCATTAACGGGCAATCGCGCTTCATGCCTCCGGAAAGAAAGAAAGACGGAGGGCTCAAGCGACCTGAGGACACTCCAGCTCGTGCCTCAGGGAACGGTGGCGGACTTTCCCACCTACACCCTGGGGGCGATGTCGGCAGTGCAGATCTTCGACGCCGCCAAGGCGGACCTCCCCGGTCTGGACGAGGCCGTGGCCGCCGGGGACTTTGCGCCGCTGAGGGGCTGGCTGAAGGACAAGGTTCACCGCCTCGGCAGCCTCTACCCCAAGGCGGACGACCTCCTCGAGGCGGTCACCGGCAGGGCCCTGGACCCCGACGTCTTCCTGAGGTACCTGGAGGACAAGTACAGGGACATCTACCGGCTCTCCTGACGGATGAGGGGGGGAGCGGAGTCGCCATGCACGAAGCGGGTCCCGAAGGGGGAACCGCAGTGGACCCGATCGGCGGATCTTGCCGCATCGCCATGGCATCGGCGATGCGGCGCGATCTGGGGCGCGATGTTTCGGCACTCCGCCGTCGCCGATGCGTCGCCGATGCGTCGCGGTCCTCCGACCCTATTTGGGAGGCCTCTCCTGAATTTTGACGTCGCGACTTTTTTCGCAACGTGGGCCCCTGGAGGTAATAATCAGTGTCCCCTGATCCGGGACCGGCTTTTCATCCCGAGTCATCTGTCGACTGTCCAGGGGGCCAGTGAGGGCCCCCAGAGGTCGAGAATTGCCAAGAACCGTCCGTCATACCATTTTTCCACCACGAAGAAAGGGCGGAGGCAGAGGCGGAGTAGGTCCAGAGACTGCCCGCCTGCCTCTCGGGAGCCCGACTGCACTCCAGGAGGAGGAGGAGGAGGAGGAGGAGGAGGAGGAGGAGGCGGAGGAGAAGGATGGGGGAGGAGGATGAGGAGGAGGAGAGGAGGAGAGGAGGGAGGAGGAGGGAGGAGGGAGGGAGGGAGGGAGGGAGGGAGGGAGGGAGGGGGAGGGAGGGAGGGAGGGAGGGAGGGAGAGAGGGAGGGAGGAGGGAGGAGGAGGAGGAGGAGGAGGAGGAGGAGGAGGAGGAGGAGGGGAAGAACCTCCGACGCTGCCGAGGAGGGTGCCAGCCCCCTCCGAGAAGGCCACCCCGCCCTCCCAGAGGGCCGCTCGGCTCGGCCTGGTCGATCCGCTCCGATGTCGATGCCAGCCTGCTCCATGCGACTCGACTCCGGTGCTCCGACGATCCGATGCGGCCCGATGCAGGGGAGCAAAGAGTGACACAAACATAAAAACTCGGAGGTCCGCGCAGATTTCTCGGATCGGCGCTGGACCCCCCCCCTTGGCGCGCGGAGCGCGCCAGGGGCGGCGCTGCAGGCGCCGCCGAGGGGCCCCAGCGCCGATCCGAGAAATCCGCGCGGACCTTCGAGTCTTTAGGTTTATGCCACTTTTTGTTCCCCTACATAGCTTGCCTGGCGCCGTTGCGCAGCGTTGCACAGCCGATCCGATCCGACTCCAGATCGGCCCCCCCCCCCCCCCTGGGGTGCATCCAGTCCATCTTCGAGTCGGGACTGCTCGGGGGACCTGCTGAGGCCAGCTGGGACTGCAGTCAACCCGCAGAGTAAGGAGGGGCAGCCTTCCCAGGGGTACCCTCGCATCCTTGCCTCTTCGGTCTGTCCTTGACCACTTCCGTTGGCTGCGCCCCGCTCGGGAAGCTTCGACATGGACGTCCAGGACGTCCGAGGCCCCTGCACCCTTACCCCGCAGCCTTACTCTACGGGTTGCCTGCACCTGGGGGGCGGTGTGTGCGCAACCCGGAGCCTTGCGCACCACCCCCATCTTGCCTTTTTCTCGGGATGCGATGCCCGGCGCGCGCCTCTGGCCTCGCTGGTCCTCGAGCGCCTGCAGGCGCGCCGCGCCCGGCTCTCCCCTGGAGGCCTCTGCGCCGTGCAGCGAGGAGTTTTCTTGGCGCGCCCGACAATCCGGCGATGCAGGCAGATTGCCGTGCCAGTCGCGAACCCTCCTACTCCTGCTCCTCCTCCTGCTCCTCCTCCTCCTCCTCCTCCTGCTCCTCCTCTTCCTCCTCCTCCCTTTCCTCCTCCGCCTCCTCCTCCTCCTCCTCCTCCTGAGATCCGGGCGTTGCAATTTTCGCCCCGAGTCGGTCCAGGGACAAACCACAGATCGATCGGGCCCGAAAGATCGCGTCTACGGCTCCGGAGAGAGGGGGTCCAGGGCTCCCGTCGTGATGTCTCGCGATGTTGCAACTGTTTCGCAGCGTCAGATATCAGGACCTTCATCCTCCGCGGATGGCTGTGGGGGGGGTGATGGCCGGCAGTTGCTCGAGTGAACTCGGGCGCTGCGCTGGCCCCGTCCCAGCGTCTGCCACGACCGCTGCGGCAGGCTGGTGTCGTGCCGATGCGGCTGTGACGCAGGCGCGGGCGCTGAAGGTTGAACGCCGGCGGCGGCGCGGAGCCAGCCGACATTGAACGATCTGCGCACCGGAACGCCCTGGTCGCTCAGCGTTGAACGCTCCACGCGGCTTCGGAAGCCAACCCACAAGTCGTCACGACACGGACCTGCCGTACCACTCTCGACCACTGTCTCCACGGCCGCGACCGCTCCCTCGGTCCCCGGTCGTCTCCACGCCTCCCCAGATGGCCTACATACGAACGCATATCGAGGTTAAGATGGGACGTGGCGACGCGAGTATCACATCGATCCTCAATGTTGCATCAACGATACTGGATCAAAGTTTACGTTGCACCACACGTGAGCGCGCTGCGCGAACTGATCATCTTTTCCGGCACCCGAGCGCCGCACCCGCAGCACCCTAGATGGTGCCCATGCGCGGGAGTGTGCGAGTCTTGTGTCCTGTGCCCAGGAAAGAGAAGCACACGGCATCGCCCAGGACGCGGGAAAGCCACCTCTATGATGGAGGTCTAGTCGACGCCTCCATCCTGTACGTTTCGGGCCCCCACCACAACGACGATCACCTCGACGACCACGACCACGACGAAGATAGCGACCGCGACCGCGACGACGACGACGATGGCGACGGCGCCGGCGGCGGCGGCGGCGACGGAGGCGGCGGCGGGAGAAATCACGCCTGGAGCCCTGGACCCCATCTTTCTGCGGCATTTCTCGAGCCATGATCGATCTGCGATGGCCCCAGGGCCTGACGCCAGGCGAGAGAACGCCTGGTCCGGGCACCCCCCGAAGCGCTCTCGGCAAGGCGCAGCTGCTGGGAGGCATCCCCGGGCTGGGAGTTCCGCCGAGAGCCAGCGGAAAACCTGCGTCTCAGAGTCTCGGGGGCCCACCCGCTGGGAGCCATTTCGACTCTGTCGTGTTGAATGGACTCTATGCCGAGGATTTTCATTTCGAGTCGGCTCGACTCCGGCTTCGATTTGGGTTTCTTTGTGCAGGCCTCGCAGGGGCCGCTGGGCGTCGATTTCGATGCCTCCGATTCCACGCTTTCCGATTGACGATTCGATTTTTCGATTCGATCTTGGGAGGACGAGGTGCAAAGAGGAAGACGATACTGGAAATGAAGTAGGCAGGGAGGGTAGGCAGGGAGGGTTGGCAGGAAGAGAAGAGCGAGGAGGGAACGCAGTAAGAGGGGCTGGTTCTCCTCCAGAGGGAGATGGTATCCCACGCGCCCGACGCCGACGCCGACGGCGACGCTCACGGCGACGCCGACGCCGACGCCGACGCCGCCGCCGACGCAGCCGACGACGCCGGCGACGCCGCCGACGCCGACGGCGACGGCGACGACGACGCGGACGACGGCGACGCCGACGACGCCGACGACGACGACGACGACGGCGACGGCGACGACGACGGCGACGCGGACGACGGCGACGCCGACGACGCCGGCGACGCCGCCGGCGACGCGCGGCAGGTGCAGGGCCAGCTCTCGGGCCAGGGCGCGCCCGTGCCGCCCCTGGCGCTCTCCGCGCAGGGCCCCGCGGCCCCGAGGCTCGCTGGGCCGCTGCTGGAGGCGGGCCCCGCCGCCGCCAGCTCTCGGCGGGCCCTCGTCGTCGTCGTCGTCGTCGTCGTCGTCGTCGTCGTCGTCGTCGTCGTCGTCGTCGTCGTCGTGGTCGTGGTCGTCGTCGTCGCCGCCGTCGCCGTCGTCGTCGCCGTCGTCGTCGTCGTCGTCGTGGTCGTCGCCGCCGTCGTCGCCGTCGTCGTCGCCGTCGTCGTTTGTGGCAGTGGTGGTCGTGGTCGTGGTCGTGGTGGCGGTCGTGGTCGTGGTGTGGCGGTCTTCGTTGTCGTGGTCGCCTTTCTCGAGATCTCCTGGGGCTTGGCCCGCCTTTTGGGACCCGCGTGGGGGCGCTTTGGAGGCCCGTGCGCGGTGTCCGCCAGTCGGCGGCGGCCTTGCTCGGAGGAGCGGCGGAGGCCCTGCCCTCCAGAGGCAGCGGGCGTCCTCCTCGAGTGTGGGTTCTGCCGCCGACATTTGTTTCTCCCCGAGGTTTGGATCCTCTGGGGGAGTGAGGAGTGATGATGCTGATGCTGATGCTGATGATGCTGATGATGATGATGATGTTGATGATGATGATGATGATGATGATGATGCTGATGCTGATGCTGATGCTGATGCTGATGCTGATGCTAATGCTGCTGATGATGATGCGAAGAAGGGATGTAATGATGAGGATGATGGTGGTGGTGGTAATGATGGTGGTGATCGTGTCGACGACGATTAGGATCATGATGATGACGATGATGATGATGATGATGGTGGTGGTGATGATGCTGATGATGATGCTGATGATGATGATGATGATGCTGCTGACGCTGATGCTGATGTTGCTGACGTTGCTGATGCTGATGCTGATGATGGCGCTGCTGTTGATGATGATGAGATGATGATTATGATGATGATGATGATTCTGTTGCTGATGATGATGACGATGCTGAGGCTGGTGATGATGCTTCTGCTGGTAATGATAATGATGATGATAATGATGATGATGATGATGATGATGATGATGATGATGATGATGATGATGATGGTGATGGTCATGGTGATGATGATGATGATGATGATGATGATGATGATGATGATGATGATGATGATGATGATGATGAAGCTTCTGATGATGATGATGATGATGATGATGATGATGGTGATGGCGGTGACGGTGATGATGATGGTGGTGATCATGATGATGACGGCGACGATTGTGGTGATGACGACGCCCACGCCGACGCCGACGCCGACGCCGACGATGATGATGATGATGATGAGGAGGAGGAGGAGGAGGAGGAGGAGGAGGAGGAGGAGCATGAGGACGAGGACGAGGATGAGGATGAGGACGAGGATGAGGATGAGGACGAGGATGATGATGATGATGATGATGATGATGATGATGATGATGATGATGATGATGATGATGATGATGATGATGATGATGAGGAGGATGAGAGGAGGAGGAGGAGGAGGAGGAGGGAGGAGCAGGAGCAGGAGCAGGAGGAGGAGGAGGAGGAGCAGGAGCAGGAGCAGGAGCAGGAGCAGGAGCAGGAGCAGGACCAGGAGGGGGAGGAGAGGAGGAGGAGGAGGAGGAGGACGAGGAGGAGGAGGAGGAGGAGGAGGAGGAGGAGGAGGTTCCGTAGCCATTTTGGCTCAAGTCCGGAGGCATTGCTCGAGGATTTGCGCGTGTCGCGGGGGATTTGCGGCCCCCACAGTTTCTTGGTGTTCGCCCACCAGTCCAGTTTCCCTGGCGTTCGCCCGCCAGGCACAGTATACAACACGTTCCGTGTACGGTACCTTATCTGCCAAGTTCGATGGTGCCATCTTCTTTTTTCTCTTGCCAGCCTTGGGCTCAGTTCGAGGATCGCGGTCAGGACGGAGGGGAGTGGTCTACCAAAGGCCGGCCGAGGTCATAAAAGAAAGTTCTCGCCTATTCCATGCGCGCGCTGCGGATGTCGGAAGAGCCTCGTTCACTTCACATGGTGTAGGCATTGCAGGTCGCCTCTCGTGGACGTTCCGCCAGCTGTCCCTCGGGGGGGGCCTCATGGGGGACTCTTGGGGACCTCTTGGGAGCCTCTCGGGCCCGAGGGCTCGAAATGTCCGTTTGCTTCCCCTGTCTGGGTACCCTCTTGCAGCCCTTTTGGGAGCCTCTTGGGCCGTCTGCAGGCGTCTTGGGCCGTATTCGGGCCCTCTTTGGCCCGATTCGGGGCTCTCTTGGAGGCCTCTTGGGGCGATCGTTAGAGTTTCTTCGGCTGTTTTGGAGCGTCGGGAAGCTGAAAAGGCGAGAACGCCCAAATCCTTGAAACATTTGAGGAACATCGATAAATTGTACCTTTTGGGGCTCTCTTGGGAGTCCTCTTCGAGGCCTCTTGGGGCGTCTGAGGCCGTGAAGGCGTCTTGGACCGATCATTCGGCGATTTGGGGTCCTCTTCGGCCGTTTTGGGGGCCTCTTGGGGCACTCTTGCACCCCCCCCGCCCCGGGACCCCCTCCGGACACCCCCCCGGGACCACCTCCCAGGACCCCCCCCCCCTGGCGGGGAAGGGATCAAAGGGAAATGGCTTCCCTTTCGACTCAATTACGACGTTGCTCAATTTCGTTTTGGCTAGCGCGCTGGAGGAGGAGGGCCCAGGAAAGGAGAGGGCGGCGACGGGCCCAGGGAAAAACAGGGAGCGGCGACGGCGACGACGACGACGACGACGACGTCGACGAAGACGAGTCAAACGGAACAGCCTCCTCCACACGCCGACCGGGTCGGCGGATTTCAACGCTGTGGGTGTTTGCTCTTGGATTGGCGCCATCTTGAACTAGCCATTTGCTCTTGGAGCGGCGCCATCTTGAGATAACCATTTTGCTCTTGGGGTGCGATTCAAGGCGCCAGGGCATCCGACGACGAACCAGAGGACACATCTTTCTACTTTGCGGGCAATCAGGACAGATATGAAGATAATGGCAGAGCGTGCTAATGAGAGGTTTGTTGCTCCCGCTAAGTTAGACTAGTTTAGCGGAGTTGCTGACGTGGCGACAGTTGCATGCCAAGTGGGTGCTGCTTCCGCCCGCTATGTGGATGGAGCGACAGTGCCCATTGAGGGTTGTGTTCCGTCTAGTTGTCAGCTGCCCACGACTTTACCTTTGTCTTTGTCCGCTACAGAACTGCTTAGTGTTTTAAGAAACAGTCCAGTCCGTTGTGTTTCGGAGTTTTCTTTGTAAAGCTGGGGACGCCACCGAAACGCGACGGACCCGCCTGAGCACCAGACTCGAACGGTATGTCTTCATGGTACGCAGGATACGGTAAGTCTTCTTTCCTGTATGGCTGTTTGGCTCAACGTGGAAACCTGCCGCGCCCGCTTCAAGAGTTGCTCCAACACGCGATTGGCCCGCTTTACAGTTCATCCGGGAACAAAGAAATGTTTCCCTTACCGCTTTACATGATTAGTCTCTTCCCCCCTGCCGCCCCTCCCTCCTGCCGCCCCTCCCCTTCCTCCGCGGCCGCCCCTCTCCCCTCTTCTGCCCCCCCCCGGACCACCCCTGAGGCGCCGCTGCAGTTCCTGGTCTGCGAGCTGGGGGAAGAGCCGCAGCAGGCCTCGACCGGGCGTCGTCGTCGTGGCCGTCGCCGCCGCCTCCGCTGCCGCCGTCGTCGTCGTCGTCATCGTCGTCGTCGTCGCCGGCGTCGCCAGCGTCGGCGTCGTCGCTGGCGCCGCCGCCGGCGCCGTCGCGGTCGCCGTCGCCGTCGCCGTCGCCGTGCCCGACGCCGACTCTGTCACCGTCGCCGCCGCCGCCGTCAACGTCGTCGTCGTCGTCGTCGTCGTCGTCGTCGTCGTCGTCGTCGTGGGTCTCGGTGCTCTGCGAGGTGGGGTGTGGGTTCCGGGGAGCAGAGACTGGGGGCCTCGCAGCGGGTCCCGTGGGCCCCACGAGGCTTATTCCCTCCCCGCCCTCCTTGTTCCCTCCTCCATGTTCCCTGCTTTTTCCCCCTGTTCTGTCGACCTCTTCCTCAACTGCACGAGGAATGCTGCTCTCCTTTCTCCTCCGAAGACGCCGACTGGGCAGAATGGCCCCCTCCGCGTTTTTTTTGCTGTTGATTTTTTCATCGGATCCCAATCAGTTGGTCTATCACATCTGTATATATATATATATATATATGGCCGTATACACGCATGTGTATGTTCATACGAGGGGGTGGGTGCGCCCATTGCCGTCCTGCTACACGTAGCCTCTTGAGGCTCAGTGTTTGGTTGGGATTCGGGCGGCCCCCGTGCCGTCAGCAGAGCCCCGCCAGCCCCCGCGCACAGGGCGCATTCGGGCGCCCTGCGAGGGCAGCGCGCGAGAGGTCGGGGGTACCAGACGGTGCACCGACCTGGATCGCGCCGCGGGAGGGGAGGCCGCCGAGGGCGCCTCCCCTCCCCGCGGCGGCGGCGCGCGCGGCTGGGGGGCAACTGCGGTGACGCTGGCGGCGGGCCGCTGGGTCCCACGCTGGCGGGCTCGCCGCGACGGCGTGCGGGGCCCATGGCCGAGGCGGTGGACGACAGTGAGTGAGGACGACGAGGAGCTGGCCGACGGCCCCGCCCCGGGCCCGCGGGCCCGCCCCGCGGCGGCTGCAGGCGCCAGCGGGCTCCCAGTGGAGGACGCGGAGCTGGTCGCGCTGGTGGACGGCGAGATGTACGCGTCCGTCGGCTACAGCGGCGCGCTGGAGGTGCAGTGCCAGTTCGTGTGGCTGTGCCAGCGCCACTCGCGCTGCGGCAGGTTTGCCCGCGTCAGGCTGCTCTGGAGCGACGACAGCTACTGGGACAGGTGGTCGCAGTGTGCGGGCGACCGCGGGGCGATCTCGTTCAGGCCTCTCTTGCACATCTGCGAGGGCCCCGTGCCCTTGTGCGGGGCCGAGCTGCCGCCGAACTGCACAGAGCTGGTTCACACCTCGGACGTGGTGAGGCTGGCGGCCGAGACGGCGGCGGAACTCTGGCTGCAGCATCGGGGCACCAACCCAGGAGCGGTGTGGCCGCGGGACTTGCTGGGGCCGCCGCCTGGGGCCACCCGTTCGAGGACCTCTTCGGCGAGCTGCCCGGCGCGCCCAGTGGGGTGGCCACCCTGCGTTCGCGGCTGATGGAGTCGAAGGACCGCTTCGCGGCGCTGCGGGACCGCGACAAGGGCGCCGCCCCCCCGCCGAGGGCGCGGCGCGGGCTGCGTCTAAGGTCGAGGCTGGGACCAATGTCAAGCGGCCGCTGGCAGAGGTGCTCTCGGAGCGCGCCGCGAAGGTTGCTCGCGGGGGACCGAGGCTGCTGGCAGCGCCACCCCTGCGGCAGTGAGCCCGCCTGGACCGCCTGGACATCAACCCGCGCGGGATAAGAGATCCGCCCGCGCCCGCGACGCCCTCCAGGCCCAGCTCCTCGCCGCCGACCTGGCGCCCGTCCAGAAGTGGCTGGAGCTCACCCCGCCGCGCG